CCCCAAAACCCCAAAACCCCAAAACCCCAAAACCCCAGGTTTTAATCACAAGACTGATCAATATTATTATAGTAAATATGAACTTTAAGAGAAGGAGAAAAACCAAAGTAAGTATCTCAAGATTACCTAAAATAGCCAAATAATCACTTCACTCTTGATCTAGTTCTTCTCTCCACCACCTCTAAATTTACCCTATCGGTTGAAAAGAAGTATAGAAAAGTTCTTTCTTGGAATAAATATGCAAACTAATGAGTTCTATAGCCAACTAACATAAGGCTTAAAAAGCCTAGGCCATCTGTTCAAAATTTTGAGCATAATGGGTCAAGTCTCTTAAGCCATATTGATGCTCCACAGGTAAGGATCCATCTCATGACCGGATGTAAACAGATGTTCTACAACAATTTTATGCCAAACTTAGCCTTTCGTACTAACCATATAATAAACCCATTTATTTTCTCTGATATCATCTTTTTCAGTATCGATTTCAAGAAAGTTATGAACTTGTTCGCCATATTTTGGAGAGTAATAATTACACAGCTTTAAGCAACTCTTTAAGATAAGGATTTGGCCAAAACTAGCACATTTTGGTGATTTCATAAGTTTATATCTTCCTTGCTAATAGCCAGCAAATTCTGGGGTTTCTAGAAATTTGAATGGCATTTTTGGATGGAGTTTTAGACATGATATTAAGCCTCAGTGAGATTTCTGGTTATAGTAAATGCTAAATCAGCATCAAATTCAACTGAATATCTAGATCGTCAACAAATCTAAGGGTAAGAGTATCTTTAGAAGAAATACTAAATTATCCAACATCTCCATGATGGATAGTAGACCTAAATAAAGTAGTGAAACAGTCAACCATGAGGGAACCCTCAGGAGTTAATTTATGTAACTGAGGAAATTCTGGGACCAAAAGAAGTAGGAATATGTATAGGAGTATTGATGACGAAAAGGCATACTTTTCCAGTCTTTGCAATCATAAAAATAAGCTTCCATCCATTTATCATAGTATTGGTATGAGTTTAAATCTTAATTTATCAGAGGCTGATACAACGAGGAATAGCATCACTGAGAATACTCCTGCAAATGAAGATATTTTCCGAACTAGACGAAGCAGTTATAATGGTAGTAAGTCTTATAAGCCATTTTTCGTGTTATTAATAATAACTCATAGGCTCAGTAACGAGAGCAACTAAAAATTTACAAAAGTGAGTAAATATTTCTGACTTATAGATTTATTCATGAGCACAACAGATGGAAAGATAAAGTTGATGAGTTGAACACAAAGAAAACTATTTTTAAAATTATTAAAAGAAGGTTATCAGTCCAGAGCACTTCTTTCGAAAATAGCCAAAATTTTACTGTAAACAAGCAGACGCTTCGATTGCCCAAGAGATCGGGACTTCTAAACAGGCTCAAGCTTAATACTTCCGTAAAATTCCGTAATAAAGACCAGTAAGTTTTACCTCTGCTCTTTACCTAATAAATTGGCCAAAACGCCATCTTTTATAAATTGGTTTAAAACTATATGAACATCCGCTAACATTTTAGGAAATAAATTCGATAAACTAAAATACTGAAAGGATTTGACCAATCTGTTCCTCAAACATTCAGTCAAAGACAAGTTCCATAGAGCAGCCATAAAGATCCAGAAGGCATGGAGAGGAAGAAAGAGTCGTATCTTCATCCAATGCATAGCACGGGTGCAACACAAAGCAGCTACTACTATCCAAGACTGATGGAGGAAGTACTGGTCCTATAAAATGCAGGTTAAAAAATGGGAAGGCACTGATGAGCCCAAGTAACAACATGTTATAATCTTTAGTCATACTGTTACAAAAATGCCGAAGAGAACCTTCAGTCATATCCATATTTTCTCCCATTTCAGTAAGCTAATATTCAAGATGAAGGAGAAGAAGGAGGCCTCTTTGGTCATGGTTCAGAAGTACATGAGAGGGCTTGCTGAATACAAGAAGCATGAAAAATACAGAGCACAAGGCAAACTCAGTAATTTTAAATTAATGATTATTAGAAAGCATTTCCAAGAATTTGAACTGGCTCAAATAAATATGAAATTCGGAAGAATAAAAAATTTAGAATGGACAGACTTAACCAAATCTTTGATGAAAAGAATTTGATGAGGTGACACCAGCGGAACCAGACTTCCATGAAAGAGGAGAAAAGTTGTCCTGAGGCTTATAAGCAGCTATATTTCCGCATGAATCCAAAGAACAGTTTCCATTTAATACCTCTAGACGACGATTTGACGTCCATTAAGCCTCCCAGAAGCCCACTAAGGAGAGCTATGCATTGGAAGTTCTCAATAACTTCAGGCACAAAAATTGAGGAGAGAAGTATATCTAACCTGAGCGATGTTTATTCAGATTCCTCTGAAGATTTCTTCAAGTCATCAAACAGTAAGTCTTCTCGAGCCAATTCTCTTGTGATTAAGATTGAATTTAAATGTTTTCATATAGCCTCTGGAATAAATTTGCTTGAAATCAAACCCACAAGTCTTTGAAAGAAGCAAAATAGCACACAGAATTAACTCAAACTCGAATTAGTCGCTATTGCTTAGATATTTCAGTAGCATAATAATCGCCCTTTAGCTCAAAATTACCTCAAAGAGGGATATAATGTTCGTAAAGATTTATTCTACTAAAAATAATTTAATAGGGGTTTTGGGGTTTTGGGGTTTTGGGGTTTTGGGG